AATCATTGACCTCCTCACTTTTATATATCCCATCACCCTTCCCCAATTTATCAACGATATCTGCTCAAATGAGCCACAAGTTTACAGATATTTTAGGCATTAAATGCAGATCCAACCATTTAAAGCAAAAGAAAAAGCATTTTTTCCGATGAAACTTTTTTATTCACAATTAAATTTTCTCTAGAAATTTTCCCTAGAAAGCTCTCAGTAAACTTTCCTCTACATTCCTTTACGCCAGGATTAGTTCCATTTCCATGTGAAACTGAGTAGTAGCAAGAGAAATGAGAACACTGATAGGCTAAATTTAACTATGTTTTACTTCCTCAAGATGGGAGAGAAATTTTCTTCCCAGAAAATTATGGCTACTTAGAGAAAAGTGAAAAAATTGTGATTCTTTTAGTGTGGAAGAAGTGAAAGGAACCAAACAAAATTTGCCACCATTACTAGCATCTTGATCTTCATAGTAGGGACACACATAATATATTTTTTCCTCAAAGAACTGTTATGATTATTAACTGAGATTACTCTTGAAACTGTCATTTGGCAGCAGTGGATGGTTACTTCAAATTTATATCAGCTTCTACTAAAATAGTTAATGGTAGAATGATTACCACAAAGAGAGTTATCAAGAATGACCAGGAGGGGCTGGGGATTTAGCTCAGTGGCATAAACACCTGCCTTGCAAGCAGGCAGTCGTGAGTTTGATCCTCGGTACCGATAAAAAGGAAAAAGACCAAAAAAAAAAAAAGAAAAGAAAAACCAGGAAATCATAGAATTTTGAAGAAGATGGACAGTTAAAATTCTTAACAATAAGTGGTAATGTGCAGCTACTATACTTGGATAATGATAATTCAATGCAGGAATTTAACAGAAATGTTAAACTATAACAAGTACCATTCGAGGATTAACTGGAACATTTTTTAAAAAGATATCAGATGAAATCACCTTTCACTATACTGTACCTAATCTAAAGTACTTATGAGCAGCTTATCTTGGAGACCTTCTTTGTTAGAGACTTTTGAGTTTATTGTTGGGACCCCACAATAGGACCATCTTTTAATCTTTAAAAGTGTTATAATCTCTGTATGCACTTAGCTTTGTCATTACATGTGATTCAGAGTCTTGACTTTTGAGGAGCACTAGGATGAGATTGTACTCTTAACACCAGCACAGATTTGCTTTATATTGTGTTTGAAATGTGAGTTAAGTAGTGTCCATCTGCTATGATGCTATTGCCAGGAGGATATTTACTAATGAAAGATATTAGTCCATTAACGGTAATACATTTCTGGTTCAATACAAATTTAAGGATGTTTTCTAGTTGTGCATGGATACTGGCAACATAGTAAAGTTTTGACAATTGTTTAAATGTGTAATATTAAGTTTGGTTTTGTGAAAGTTGGTAAACTGTGTCTTTGTTATTTGTCTAACAAAAAGAAAAAAAGTAAATGTTTTTGGTGCATTCAAAAAAAAATTGTACATCCAGTCCATGCAAAAAAGGACTTGAAAAAGCTGCTTTACCCTGGCTTAAGCAAAATCTTCTTATAAACAACATCAGAAGCACATGCAACAAAGGAAATAATATATAACCTACATGTCAAAATTAAAAACATTTGTACTTCAAATAATATCACAGGAAATGAAGACACAACTCACAGAATGAGGGTATACATTAATAAATCATAAAGTTAATATGACACGTGTCTAAGATAAGGACTCCTGTAACTCAAAACTTTAACCAATTTTTAAAATGTGCAAATGAACCAAATAGGCATTTCTTTAAAAAAAGATATAGAAATGATTAATAAGTACATAAAAGATGCTCAATATCCTTAGTCATCAGGGAAATTCAAATCAAAATCAAAGTGAGATAACGCTTGAAATTCACTGAGATTGAAGAATAAAAAGACATTATAAAAAGTACTGTCAAGAGAATGGAGAAATTGAAATTCTGACGTACTGGTGGTAGGAATGGTGTGTTCACTTTGCAAAACAGTCTTGTAGTTCTTTGAATGATTGTATACCCAAGACATATTAAAAACTTGTATATAGTTTTACATACCAAAGTTATTCATAAGAGCTAAAAATTGGAAACAATTCAAATGCCCATCAATTACTGAATGTATAAATAGAATAACATATAGTCATACATTAGAATATTATGCAGCTATAAAAGAAAATCAAGGACTGATGCTATACCATAGATAAACCATGAAAATACTTTGTGAAATAAAAGAAGCATACACAAAGTTGTATATTGTATGAGTCCATTTTTATGAGATTTTCAAAATAGGAAAATCCATAGGGACCAAAAGTAGATTACTAGTTGCCAGAGGCTAGGAATTGGAGGAAATAGGGATCAACTTCTACCTGATATGGATTTTTTTTTTTTTTTTGCAAATGAGCAAAATATTCTAAAATAGACTGTGATAATGATTATACAACTGTGTGAATATAGGAAAAACTGTTGAGTTTTACATTTAAATAAATGGGCTTATGGAATGTAAATTATATCTCAATAAAGCTACTTTACCAAAAAAAAAAAAAAAAAAGAATAAGTTGGGCCTTGAGAAAAATAAAAAGCTGAATAAAATATAGTATTTCCTTTTGGCCTTTATGATTTATTAGGAAGGCAAAGAAATGAACCAAGTAGGTTTCCTGGCTCCATTTTATGTCACCATCCTGTTTTTCTTTCATTTAATTTTTATGGATTTGATTTAACCTCGCAAATCATTTCAAATCCTTTCTAGGGAAAGGTGGGAGAGTAAGTCAACAAATCATTTCAAATGGCAATGATACATGGCAGAAAGTATTCAGTGTCATAAAATAGGCACAGTTAATTTGCTGTAAGAGGAAGTAAAGAGAATTTCTTGAAGGAAAAAAAAAAAAAAAAACAGGACAGCCCCATCATCTAGTGTCCCTGCTCTCCTAATCAGCTATAAAAGAAAAAGAGTCCAAGGACAAATAAATTGATTCCAAAAGAACCTCAGCATATCAAATCAGTAGTCATATGTTCAAAAGAGATGAAACCCGAGAGCATGGCTTGGGTGTGTTGAAGATCCCATCCTTTGGGCCATGTCCTGCACTGGCAGCTAACTCAATAGTAAGAAAAGGAAAGTGATGCATGCCACTTAAACTGGAAAGTGCCTGCCACCTGCACCTGACCATGATTGAGCATATGGAAACACGAAATTCTTGGGCTGTCACACAAGCCTGAAGAAGAGTCAGATAATGCAAGGTGTCTTCAACATGGCGGCTTCAGGCTGAGCTCAGCTGTTGAAGCAGCAGGCATTGGGCTCTCTGCTTAGAACTGTCAGAAATATTATAAGTAAACATCCTCGCCTCTTTCTGACCAGGGCTGACAGCTGTGAGAGCAGAGCTGCTATGAAAGGCACACATATGCTTGAATCAATTCAGATCCAGGAAGGGAGTGGAAATCCTTCCATCTCCACAATTTCCAGAATAAACACCACTTCTATTCCTGAGAAACCCATGAGTCAAAGATACTTGAGGAATTTTGGATGATAGAAGGACTTCTCTACAATTTGGGAAATATATGACAGTTGCTTATAAAGTTACAAATATATTCATGCCAAGTTATTTTTTTTCATGCCAAATTATTAAATCACTAGGCATTCATACATGAAAATAACTATTCATAATATTCATAGAAGCTTGTTTATAATACCTCAAACTGCAAACAGTCTAGGTATTCAACAAAAAAACATGGATAAACAGACAATAATAGATCACTACTTAGCAATAAAAAGAAATAAACTACTAATACATGCTAGATAAAAGAAATTGAAAATTCTTATACTAAGAAGCCTTACACAAAGCACATCTTATATGATTCCATTTATTAAAAACTTCTAAATCAGTCACAATCTATTGTAAAAAAAGTCAGAACACTGATTACATTTGGAGTGGTTAAAAGCAGAAAACAACTGGGAAGAGGGATCTGGAGGGACTTTCTGAGTGATTATGTTTACATCATTTCATACAGGCTTAATTACACAAGTGTATGCATTTTTTAAAACTTGATGAATTCTCATCAAAAAGAAAACCTAAATGAGAAAAAATGTCTCAATGCTGGGTCAAGGGGAAATGTGGGACATTATCTAATTTAAATTTTTAAAAGTCAATCTGAAATAATCAATTAAAATAGGCAATAATCTTTTTAAAGCTAATTTTATTACTATACATTTGAAAGATATGATTACATTCATCATAGAGAATTTGTACCTGTACAGGATACATCATTTTTCTTTTTTTATCCTATTCCCCTTCCTTCCCTTCAGCTCTTCTTCTCCTCTTTACTTATGAAAGCATTTTCTGTTTTTCTTTCTCATCTCTTTTTTTCTTATTTCCTTTGCTTCCCCTCCTCCTCCATCGTCCCCCTTCTCATTTGAACATTTTCTTCCCACTTCCTGATATCTATTAATCATCTTGGTGTTTATAAAAAGGAGTAACAATCTTAAGAAGCACCTTACTAAAGAGGATGTATGGATGGCAAATAACCACATGAAAATATTTTCAGCCTTGTATTCCACTAGGAAAATGCAAGCTAATGTTTCAATGAGAAACCACTGCACACATCAGAATGGCTAAAACAAAAAAAATAAGGACTATCCCAAGTGCTGGTGAAGATTGCAAATAATAAAAACACTCATATATTAGTGGTGGGAATGAAAAACTAGACAGACATTCTAGAGGACAGTTTGGCAGTTTTTTTTTTATAAAATTAAACATATGACTGAGTAATCTCACTTTGTAAATAAAACTCAAGGGAGGCTATTGTTTTGGACTGACCATCTGCACTAGGCCCAAAAGACTAGCCCAAATCAGAGAATGGCATGCTAGGAGCCACAGAGTCAAACAACATTTAAAAACATACCAATTAAAAAATAAGATATTAACAGAAACCAGTTCAAATTGGCCCAGGTAATCTGAGCTAGGACAAGAAACTCCCACTGCCTTAACTCTGTAAGAAAAGTTACCTGGTACAGGGGCTGAAGATTTAGCTCAGCGGCATAAGCACCTGCCTTGCAAGCACGCCATCGTGAGTTCGATCCCTGGTACTGAAAAAAAAAAAAGAAAGAAAGAAAAGTTACCTGGTGTGTTACCAATTTACTTTTTGCATTATGATGTTTTCTTGTTCCTGCTTAAGCTATTTTACAAAAAAAGAACTTACTTTGTTTTCCATACTCAGTAGAGCACTTATTTCCTAGATAACATGTTCTGTGGTTCATGAATGGATAATAAAGGCCAATTAGGGGTTTTTTTGCCAATTGGTTTTTAACCTCAATTTATTGTGAAATGTTATTTAGACGTAGGCCTACAAACATATTCTAGAGAAAGGAAAACACAGAACCTGATTCTGCATGAAGAATGATTTCTCTCCACTATATGATGTTTCAGACTTTCACTAGAATGTCTTGAATAGCTGAGCATGATTCAAATGGCCAAAATAAGGTCACATCTTGGCATCATCTTCCCTCACATGTTTAGCATGTGAACTGGGATAACCTGAATGTGTTTAGTGGTTATAGCACATACAAATGGCCTCTTCATCGGTATTTTAGATAGTGTAATTTCTAAGACAATCTTACCCTTAGAACTGATACAACATATCTTATATCATATTCTATTAATAAATGACTTTAAATTTAGGAGGAGAATGATGGACTGTATCTCTTGGTATGAAAGTAGCAAAGTCATACTGCAGAAGAGCTTATAGGATAGCAGATATGATTACCTTTAACTTAGGAAAACACAATTTGCCACAGTGAAGACATTAATCTATATATAAATATAAATAGTCATCAATTTTTAAAAAACTAATAATAATAGGTCTGGAAATGTAGTTCAGTGGTAGAGCATTTGCCTAGCATGCTTCAAGCCGTGGGTTCAATCCTCAACATTGCAAAACAAACAAAAAATAACAACAATAAGTAATTTAGGATAATAAAAACAAAATGGTGATAAATAACAATACAATGTACATGGTTGCTTATAGCAACTATATACATAAGCTTCCAAAACTGGAAATTGCATAAATATCCTTCAGTCTGCAATAAACAAATTGTTCTATCTTTATCCAATAAAATATTACTCAGCAATAAAAAGAAGTGAACTAATGATAAATGCACCTACTTGGATACATCTCAAAGGAAGTCACCAGATCATCCTCAAATCAGTGATGACTTATAGAATCTAGAATCAGCGATGACTCCTGCTGTGGTGAGGAAGTTGCCCTCAAACCTCGTAGGGTTGCTTTCTGGCCTAAGAACAAAACTGAGAAAGACAGATTAACAGAAGAAAAGCATATGAATTTCTTTAATAAATTTGGCATGCACAAATGCCTTCAGAAATTAGGACCCAAAGACCTAGGGAAAATTCTATTTTTATGCTAAATTTGATGAAGCAGATCCCTGTGATTAAATATGACTAAGAAGAGGTATGATCTCATGATCATAAAATTCAGCAAGACTTTTGTTTCTTCAGATTATTTGAAAAATATAATTTTGAAAAAATGGTAAAATCATAGGTTCTATAGATCTAAAAATGAACAACATTAAAGATTTATTTTAGTCATACAAAGAATATAAACAGATGTTACAACTGATTCAGAGTAAAAGTGAAAAAGGTAGGGGCTGGGGATTTAGCTCAGCGGCATAAGTTCCTGCCTTGCAAGCAGGCAGTTGTGAGTTCAATCCCTGGTACCAATAAAAATGAAAAAGACAAAAAAGAAAAAGAAAGAAAGAAAGAAAGAAAAAAAGAAAAAGGTATACAATTACATAGGTAAATTGAAAAAGTGGTTTTTCCACAGAAAGAAATCCAATGAAAACTTTAATGAATAAGACAAGTTTCGTCTGTCAGTCATGTACAATTCACAAAATAAAATGGCACAAATAAGAGATCATTGGCGATCATCTGAGTAGGCCTCAGTAAAGGCAATGGAGCACAAGATTTATTTTACCAGGGTAGAGGCAGACTGAGGGCGAGAAGGCCATCAGTTTCAAACAAATCAAAGCAGGATTTTTATAGGACCTGAGAAGGGGCACCATGGAGGGAATCAGACATGCGAGGAGTTTCAGCAAACATCTGTGGTCCAGGTTCTCAGAATGGTGGTGCCGATGTATAGATGTTATCAGGTATTCTGGTGCTGAAAAGTTCTGTTCTGTCTTATCTCTTCTTTACAACACCCTGTTCTATTTGTCCAAGGACATTGCTACCCATTTGCCATTTGCTGATGGTAGCATAGTTTCTGAAGGCAGCAGCTTGCCAAAAACAGTGTGATTTCTAGGAAAGTTGTGCCCAGATTGTATCTGCCAATAATTACTCAAAGACAGCAAACAGAACTGAACCAGACTGGACTGATGATATGTGGATAATTCATACTTTCCTGTTAAAATACAAACTCAAATACAATGTTAAAATTCCTGTAACTATAAGATTCCAAGTCAATTTTACTTCATTAAAATTCTAAAAATTAAAAAAGTAAGACAATCACACAGTAATTTATCATAAGAAGTAACCAATATTATGGTTTATACTGAGAATTTCCCCCCAGATTTTCCTGTGTGGGCGAGGTGACTGGTTCAAGAAGACAGTATACTTACCTGTGGATTCAACTATTGCTGAGTGTAGTAGTAAAATGTGCTTTTAGGAGGTGGAGCCTGGTTGGGGGTGGGTCATTGGGAGTATGACTGGGAAGAAGGTATCCTCCTTGGCTCCTTCCTTCTCTCTCTGCTTCCTGGCTGCCATGGATTGAGTAGCTGCCCCCACCCAGGCTCTTCCACCATGCCACTTCTGTTATGGAGACAGCCGGCCATGTACTGAAAACATGAGCCAAAATAAAACTCTCCTCTTTTAAATTGTGGGTGTTGGGTATTTTGTACCAGTGAGGAGAAAGTAATGAGGACAGCCAAGGATGGAACTGGAGATGCTGAATGAAGTCTACTGCCTTTGTCTACACTAAACATAGTGGAAGGTCACACTACGGTAACACTAGTGGACAATTAGAAAAAAAATCAACTCACTTGAGATTTGAAAGGTTAAATTAAACACTGAAAACAATTTTTCGAAGCAATTAGGGATGCTCCAACATGATAATTTATGAGTTGGCAGGAACTGTAGCCAATGACATTGGCATTGTTTTATGTTGGGCTAAGAGAGGTTAGAGCCTGATATCATCTCAAAGAACCCACCCCTACTAACCCACAATCACAGGCCACAGTGTGAGTAATAACCATATTCTCCATCTTCGTTTTCTAGTTGTGCAACTAAAGTACCTTAGCTGCAGTGGTGAACCAATTGCACACATTCACAGTGGGTTGTTTGTTATTATTAAAAGCTCTAAAAGATACACCATCACTACCTTACAGTATTTCCTCAAATTAATGAACACAAAAATGATAAAACTTCTATTCATAATAACAAAAAAACCCTGAAAACAGAGCAAGTATCTATCAACAGGACAACGAATAAACTATGATATACTCATGCAATAAAAATTAAACAATAGAGAGACTATTATTGATGCACAAAACATGGATGACTGTCAAGTGTATTATGCTGAGTAAAAGAAGTCTTTACAATGAGCACATACCGACTTATTCTGTCACGAAATTCTAGGATAGAAAAAAACTATGCTATAATGTAAAAACATCAGAATGCTATTCACCACTGCAAGGTGATGGGAGTTGGGAATGATCAGGAAGGAGCATGAGGGAAATTCGTAATGGAGATAATAATTTTCTACAACTTGATTGAGATGTGGATTAACAGGTGAATATAAATGTCAACTCAGTCAATGTACTACATTAAGTTTTGTGTAGTTTGTTGTATGTAAATTTCACATCAGAGGGAAAAGTCAGTTACTGAATTCTGACCAACAGTGTGCATAGCAATGTGGTTAGAGAGAAGTACATTAAAGTCTGCAGTGAAAGAAAATGAACTGAAAATGAATATATAGCATGGGCTAATAATTGTTTTAGTTTCTTGTCTTTCATTGCTGAGACAAAATACGCAACACCCATCCAAAATTCAAGGAAGAAGGGTCTATTGTACGGCTTTCAGTCCAGGGTGACATGGCAGACAGGCTTCACAGAGAAGAAGCAGTTCATGGTGGGCACAAAGGACCTTAACTGCGTCTTTCTGCCCCTTTTTATCTTATCCCTACTACTTTAGGGCAGGCAAACTCACACCCTTAATCCTAGTGCCCTCAAGCATAGCATTGCACTATGAATCAATTCCAGAATCACACACTCTAGGTCCAGCCTCATCTGAAAAAGCCCCACCTATGGCTAAGGCTTTGGGGAGACATCTAAACATAAACCATAACAATAATAGTTAAGTAAATGATAAAGCAAATTCAATAAAATATAAATTGTAGAATCTAAATGATGGTTGCACATGTTACTGAAAATGTTCAAATTTTACATATCTTTAAATTTTTCAAGAATAGCACATTGGATTTCTAAAATAAAATGCTAGAACTTTAACTGAAATCTTCCTCCAATCAATCAACCAATTCCTTCAAGTTTCCAAGCCAGAAGTTCTCATTTAAAACTGAAACACATTGTACACTTTCAGAATTATGTAAGGAAGTAGAATTTAAAAAAATAATCAAGAGCAAAACTTGTTATTTTCAAATGATTTTGAGGCATTCATTTATTGTTTAGGACAAACAAAGATATTTACTCCTCAGAAGACAAGAATCAGCATTGTTAGAAAAGAAAAGGGATGCAGATTCCTATTTTTGGTTTCATTTTTAAAGCTTTGTAGGGGAGTGCAAAATAAGAATTTCCAGGATTTCCAGTGTTACATTGTGTACTTTATTGGGGATGTAGCAAAGACCTTTGTGCCCTCCTCATTAATCCTCCAAGTCTTAGCCTTGTCCTTTTACCTAGATTAAAACCTGAAATCCATTCACAGACCCTATCCTTCATGTAAGGCTTTGATCCCTGTTACTAGGTAGGTAGACTGGAGTGTAAAGGTAAAATGTAAAATGCGGGTGGGGATAGGGTGGAGTGGAGGTGGGAATCTTTTGGGGAGATTGCTTAAGGGAATGGGAGTCTTGTGAAAAGAAACAGACAAAAAGCGAGGAAAGGATAATTATTTCCATAATTTCCACATTTATCTATAGAAATAACACCCAAAAAATCACACAATAACAGTTTACATAAGACAAACTTTAAAAATCTTTTACATATCAAAGCAAAAATAAAGGCCAAGATATTCCTATCCCAGAGACTATATACTGTCATCCAGGATTCTTTCTGTACATTTTGATTTTTAAATAATATTTTTATTTTAAGAGAGCAATAGAAAAAAAGAGCTATAGATTTACATGAAGCTGCAAAAAGTAATAAAGATCCCATGCTCGTCTCACACAGATTTCTTCAGTAGTAACATGTTATAAAACTGCAATATAGTATCATAACCAAGGTATTAACCTTGACACAGTCAAAATATGGAACAATTCTACCCATAAGAATTCCTCATGTTGCCATTTACAGCTTCATCCATTCCCTTCAGGAACATACCCACTTAACCTCTTACAACAAAGAACCTGTTCCCTATTTCAATAATTTTGACATTTCAAGAGTGTCATGTAATTTAAAAATAAGGTGTGTTTTTTGAGGGGATTGTCATTTTTTACTTATCGTAAATCTCTGGAAATTCACAGAGTTTGTTTCATGTGTCAATAGTTTTGGATCTAAAGTTGGTCTCTTTTAGACAGCATTTCTAAACTGTATCAAGTTTTAAATTCATTTTGCTAATTTTGACTTTAATATAGAGTTAAATCCCTTTACATTTAAAGGAATTATTGATAAAGAAAAGTTTATTTCTGTCACTTTGCTTTGTCTTCATATTTTAAAACTTATTCTTCTTCAGTGCTTTGGTTACTGCTTTTTAATGATTCTTGAGTTGTTTTAGTTCACTGTTCTGATTTCCTTATTTTTCACTTTATTTATATAGCTCTATTAATATAGATTTATAATTTTTACTTCATTAACTTACTTTTTATAATTAAGCAGGTGAAAATAGGAGCTAAAAATCCAAAAAAGTGAAAAGATATTGGCTTTTACATTTACCCAGGTGGCTTTCTTTATACTTGGATAAATTTCACTCATCATGACGTATAATTCTTTTACATATTATTGAATTCTACTCATTTATATTTTTAAAATAATTTTATCTTTGTTTTTTTTCTTTTTGTACAGGGAATTGAACTCAGGACCTTGTACTTACCAGGCAGGCACTGTGCCACTGAGGTATATCCCTGGCCCCTGTGCTCTTTTTTTCTTATTTTAAAGAGAATTTTTAAAAAAAACAATAAAACTGACATAGAATTTCAAAACACAATGATATCAAATTAACAGTGGTTATTATATTGCATATTGTTGCTATCAAAATAGTTGCTCAGATTACCAGACATAGGCATGCAAAATTGATCAAACAATATAAGCACTACGTGTTCTTGCCAATGAACTAATAGAATGAGTGGTATAATTACTTTAGATATCATATATATATACACACACACACACACACACACACACACACACACACACACACACATTTACCTTCCTTCTTCTCTCCTTTCCCCATCCCAGTTGTTCTCTCCTTTCGAGAAGTTTCTCTTCCTTTCATAATATCTATTGTACCTTTCAGGTCTTATTAACTCTTCCAATTTTCTACACCAGGGAAAAAATACAATGTTTACACATGAGTCTTATTTATTTCACCAGTTGCATCCATTTACCTATAAAAATCCTTGAGCTTATCTTTCTTTATAGCTAATTAGTACTCCATTGCATAAAAAAACACATCTATTTTATCCATCCCTGCCAAAAAGAATTTTATTTCTGTATTCATAAGGAATATTGGTCTGTATTTCTTTTTCTGTCTTCTTCTTGTAAGCAATCTTTGCCTTCTTTTGATATCAGTGTATATCTGTCACTATCCTGGCTTTTGGAATCTAAGGGAGAAGAATTTACATGGCTGCCCCACTCAAGCAATGAAACCCTGTGGATGCAAAATATTGGTTTGGAGAAGGCAAAGTTTTATGACAAAAGAGAATATAGTTCATAGACAAGCCGGATCATCACCAGAGTGTGACCAACGATGAGTTCTTAGGGAAAGTTCAGCTTTCCTGGACCATCTCCCATCATTCATGCGTACCTACCTCCTTACAATCCCCCTTTAAGGAGTGATATTTCTTGATTCTTTAAAGTATAGGGTGATGAAGGTACCTGCTACTTCTTGTTAAGTGGGCACCATAAGACAGCAGTTAAACTCTTTCCTACACAGTGGTGGAGGATCAATCCAGGATTCCCAGACTTATTTTTCTGTTGGTAGCCATTGGTTGTCAGGGTCATCTGCAGGGTTACATCTGCTAGGCAAGAGGACCTAAAACGCACAAGGAGGTAAAGAATAAACTGGAGGAAATTAGAAAAAGAGAGGGCTATGGAACCTCTGGTAAGCCCTGGGTCCTTGTTTTATTTTAATATAGGCCAAGGCAGTGAAAAATGACTCTAACCTCAGGGGAGTTGGCAGGTGAAGAGAAACCAAAGGAGAATCAAGATCAGAGAGCTTATAAAGAGATTTATGTAACATTAGGGATTGGTCAGGGAATGCTTATCATCTGAAGCCTTAAGATTATTTTTAAAGAGTAGCCTGCTCTTCAAGGGTTTGTACGAATAGACTGTGGAACCGTTGTCATAGGCCTGTGGAGGCTTCTCAATTTGTTGGAATTTTTGATCCTCCTGGTACAGTTAGAAACAATAGGGCTGAGCAAGTCACTCCCTTCCTTCCATTTAATTCTACACAGCACTCTATGGTTGTTTCTGCTTTGGTTGTCCTAAGAGAGGTACAGAATAAAATAACAGAAGCTTAAGAATTTAGAACTCAAGGAAATGCATGAAATAATGCAAATGTGAAATACCAGGAGGTATTACCTTGGTTTGTACAAGTACTAATGGTAGCAGAATGAAAGAAGAATTGAATGATAAACACGAAGGTGTAAAAATAAACGTGGTGTAATTTCTGAGGACAAAAGCCTATCTCACAGATCTTTTTAAGTAGCAGTGAGAGATGAGGGTTAAACTGACACCAGATATAGGATACCTTGAAAATTAAAGAGAAGTACTTCTATTTGATGTATGGTAGGCTGACAGGCCGATATCTTAGTCATTTTCCTTGTTTCTGGCACAGTAGGCAATACCTGCAAAATGAAAGATAAGATGTTTATTTTGGCTCATTTTTCATAGTCTGGTGACTCCATGGCAGAGAAATAGCAGCTCATGTCATGGCATTTAGGAAGAGAGTGAAGGGAGGAGTGCGCAAGGTAGAAGATATACATGTCCAGGCCACGTCCCCAGTGACCTGCCTCCTCTGACAAGGCTGTAGCCCCCAACATCACATTTAGCTATAAGCTCATCATGAGTTAATCTACTGATGTGTATCATTCACCCCATGATATAATCACCTCTCAAAATCTCCATCTATAAGTGCATGAGGCTTTAGGTGGGCATCTATATATAAACCATAGTGGTTGGCATTTGTCCAAGACCACATGTGGAGGAAAAGCCAAGATGCGACCATCCTGAATTTCTACCCTCATTCCTCTATCAAGCTTGTTGATAGTTGTAACTCTGCATACAGAATGAATGGAATATAGCAAGGCAGAGAGGGACCATACCTAAACCAGCAGTGGAAGCAGGAGTTGGTAACAAGACTAACTTCATTGTTTAAGAACTCCAGGATTAAGGGACCAGACAGATATCAAAAGATAGTCTTTCAAGAGCAAAGAGGTAATGCTGCAAATACAAGAAATAATGAGATGAGGTTTTTTAGGGGAGCTATTGTATTATTGATGGCTATTTGCACATCTTGTGTTTCCCCAACTGCTTAGGACATAGCCTCATTAACGATTCTTGACAAATTTGAGCAAAATAGAAATAATTTATTTTCATTTAGCTTACTTTTCAGATGATCTTAAACATTTTGGCTGACTGAGTAAAATACAATAATCATGAAATCAATCATCAAAAAATTTAATATGTGTAAAATTTCTGTTATGAACAACTAAAAAAAGATCTTTTAGGATTAAGAAAGGCTTTTATGAAAATAGCTCTTCAACTCGAGTATTTATCTTACAGAGACCTATGTAACTTTATCTTCCCACAAAAATTAATAGTGTCTATAATTTCAGCTTTCAAGTTCAGATACAATCAACAGACTGTATTACATAATGGCTAACAGCATGCACTTCTGGATTAAGACCTCCGTGTTCAAATTTTTCTGAGTATCTAATCAGAGTTTTGCTATGATAAAGTTAATTACTTTCCCTGTGTATCACTTTATTCAGTCATAAAATATAATAATAATATACCTATCATCTAAATTGTTATAAGCAATTAACAAGTTAGTATAGGTAAAATATTACACTAGTTATTGGCACACGGTAAGCTTTTGGTAATGCTATCATTGTTGTTGCTCAGCCATTTTAAAAAATTGTTTTTATTGATATTGGTTATTTATATCACTGACTTACATATAGCCCCTAAGCAATGGTCATACTGACTACAAAAACATTGCTCTTATATAGCTTTATAATAATTATTATTTCACCTTTTTCTCAGCTGACTAAAAACACAAGAAGATTATCACTTAAAGGCTTTGAGAGTCAAACTACCTGAGTTCCAAACTAAGTTCTGCATTATACTAACTTTGAGTCTGAAAGACTTATTTTAGCTCACTGAACCTTGGTTTTCTCACCTGTAACTTGGGTGTAATATTATATATCCCAGAGATTTCTTATGAGGTGCAAATGGAATAATGGATACAAAGTGTTTGGCACAGGTAAGTGATAATTATAGCTAAGTGTCACACACTATAACTCTGGGGAGGTAGGGAAGTGGGGGATCCAAAATTGAGGAGTAAGATGTGATGTGGATCAAGAATAAAATAGAGTTCTGGCATCCACAGAGCCATTGAGTAAGTCTAACCTAGTAAGGTGGAATACAAGAAATATAAATAGAACTGGCCTAAGGGAACCAAAACTTCACTGTGTATTAGCTTTCTCAGATCCCCTTTTTTCTGCATCATTTGCTTATTTTTTTCTTCCATGGCCCCAGAGGGCTAGTGCAGTAAGAAACCATTCATCAGTTCTTGGACATTTAAGCAGGATCAGAAGGTAGCTGAGGGGAAAAGGAGAGAGAGGCAGAGACAGAGAGAGAGATTTAATTCATGTAATGAAGGGTGGGAGGGAGAGAGAGAAAGAGGAGAGGTAGAAAATACTTTTTTCTAAGCCTTACTTGACCTCATTTATTTCTCCTTTTAGGACACAAATTTAAAATCCAATAAACAGAGATATGATGTGGGACAAAGAGAGAAAACTAAAGAACATCCTCAGCATTTGTTTTTGTATATATTCCTCAGTACAGTTTATTACCTAAATACCGTAAAGATTTTTTTAATGGCCGTGAATTCATTAACACTAGTCACATTGAGTATTGTGGGATTGTATTTTCTTCCCATGAATCAAGGTGAGCTTATGACTTCTTCAATCAACTCAATATGGTAGAAACGATACTTTGATTTCCAATGTTATATTATAAAAAGTTCTCCAATGCCCACCAGGTTCTATTTTGAAATAATACACACTTGGTAAAGCTAGTTTCCCTGTAAGTAGTTTAGTTATTCTGTGAATCTCATTCAGCTCAATTTGGACTTATATTCATTTCCTCCAAGATATCAAACATGGAGTAAAGCCATTTTTAATCTTTCAGACTATGCTAACTATCAACTAAGTACCTTTGTGAGACCTTGGTTGATACCACAGGAACAAAACAATCATACAGCCAAACTAATATTAGGATAATGAATTATGAATTATGAGGCAATTTGAATGGGACAAATACTGATAGTTAATTAAGACATAAGGGTGTGAATAATAAGAAATATGAATTGAATGTCCCTGGTTCCTAGAACATATCTCTAAAACCATTGGAATTTCCAAAGGGATGTCTTTTTGTATGCTAGTGAGATGACTGATGGCTGGAGGTTCATGGATAGCCACTGGATCAGGAGCAGGTTGCCAAGGGAACCAGCCATTTGATGAGAGGATTACATTTTCAGCCCCACTTCTTAATTTCCCCAGAGGAACAAAGTGCTAACGATTGAGTTAATCAACTATGTCCAACGGTGTAATCAATGATGTTTATGTAATGAAACCTTTACACACACACACACACACACACACACACACACACACAATGTAAAATTATAGGTTTCAGAGAGCTTCCCAGCTGCACAAACAACCATAAGGAGTGTGTCACAACCCAACTCCACAGAAATAGCAGATCCTGTGCTCAGGATCTATTCCTTGCCATGTGTATGACATGTGATTAAAAAAAAAACTATGGTGATGTTTAAATTTTAAAAATTTATTACAGTTAGTTACACATTGCCATTAATTCCCCTCAAAATACTCTCCTTGCTTCAAACATACTTGGCCAACATCCTTGCTTCTTTCTGAAGCAGTTCTGGAAGTTCTCTGTTTTGTCTTTAGTTGCACTGTTGTGGTTGCCTCGGTGTCCTGAATCGATTCAAATGTTTATCTTTCGTGGTCATTTTGTCTTTATGGAAAAATCAGAAGTCGCTTGGTACCAGATCCACTGACTGAGATGGATGAGGACACACAATAATGATTTTATTTGACAAAAACTGCCATAAGTGTTTTGAATTGACTCAGGACATTGAGGCAGCCATAAAATGACACCACAAAAGAAGACTTCTAATACTGCTTCAGAAAAATGACAAGAAAAATAAGCATGTCTGAAGCAAGCACACATATTTTAAGAGAGATTAAAGGCAACTTTTCCACTCTAATGCATTTTTAAATTTAAGTATTAACAATACTTTTATCACATCTCTTCATATCTGGATGTTCATCTGTATTTCTTATTGTATTACTTATTAATATACTAGATCAGCAGATACATAGTAGAGTTTGGATTTTACTAGCTGCTTTTCCAAATTAATTGATCTTGGTGGGGTAGTGGGGTCTCCCAATTTATAGTTAATCAGAAGTAAAAGAGGCAAGCTACTATTTTCTACTGTGATATGAAAAGGGGAGCCAATCTGTAGGCATGAACCCTCAACCTGAGTGATATGACGTTGTCTATATTCAGGTACATGGCATCAGTATTGAGTTAAAGTATAGGACACTCCATTGGTGTCCTCTGCAGGCGAGGTTGCTGGTAAGGAAAAAAATTCGGAAAGTAGGTAAAATACTTTGGTTATTTTCCTCCTGTCTTTTCAGAGAGAAACAGAAGGTACCACACTCAAGTCTTCCTCTTTCTATGCAAAACAGACTTTCTGGTGATGCTTCTCTTCTGTTTCATTTTAGCTCACTTTGAAAAATAAGGCTATGGCCAAACACTAAGAGATAATAGTCACCTTGACCTAATCCCAGAGAGGAAGAACAGAAGCGGGAAAATAAATACAAGTAAATTCCCTGCTCTAACTCCAGGGAACTGGCTTCAGATGTTGGTTTCTGCCCATCATCATCACGTCTGCCTTCCCTTGGTGCTCCTCCTAGGCTCACTCCAAAACACTGTGCATGTTCACAGCCATGATCATTCTATCTCAGAATCCTTGGAAAGGCCAATATATTTGGAGCAAACTAAAAAGAACAGTTGTAAACAGCCAATAAATACAATGTCTTCTCACCTGGCTTTCATTCACAATTTTCACAAATTTGATGAAAGGAGACATAATTACAAGGGAGGACTGAAAATTAGGTGCTCACTCTTCATTAGAATTCTAGGGTTTTGGAGCTAAAAAAAAAAAGGCCCTTAGATGTCTTCTGGTCAAATCTCTTCAAGGTACACATGAAAAACTAAAACTCAAAAAGGAGATATAGCTTGTATAAATTTATTAAACTTTTAAGTAGCAGAATCAAGGAGAGGAAATCTTACTTTTCAATTCCTCTTTTGAATTATTCTTACTGTACTCTACAACAGTGCCTCACAAACTTCAAAGTGCACACAAATCACTTGGAAATCTTTCATTAAAGACCACTAAGGAGAATTGACGACTGATTTAGCTCTGCCATTAAAACAGTTCTTAGCTTTTCTCTTGTGCACACATATTTCATTGTCTTTCCTTAAAATATGTTCTGTGTTTGTAACAAGCTCTAAGGTGAAGGTAATCCTTGTAGGACTTAGATCCACCCTCCAGCTTTAAGAGTGAGGTGACTGGGCATAAGTAGGGAGAGAAGTCAACAATTACATTTTACTTAAAATGCAGTCATCATGACCAGTGTTTTGTTATTTATGTCTGTGTCCCCCAGGCCTCATAAGCTTGAATTGTGGATTTGTTATTCGTTCGTTCTCTAGTGCTTGGATTGATGGTGTCAGTGCTCCACCCACAAAGGGGTGGAGCCAGGATGTGATGTAATGGCAGGAAGGTGAGTCTTACTCTTTGCTGGTTCCGGCTTGCTGTTTGCAGCTGCCATGAATGGCGGCCCAGCCATGCCTGCCTGCCTTGGAGCCAACTGAGTGTGGACTGAAACCCCCAAAAACTGTAAGAAATAAACCTTTCCTTTCCCAACTTGGTCCTCAGGTATTTTGTCTCAGCAATGAGCATTAAGTAAAGAAGACAGAATTTGGTACCAAGGAGTGGGGTCGTTTGCTGTGACTATACCTGGTCATGTGTTTCAAGAGGCTTTGGAAATGGCTTGTGGACAGAATTTGGAAAGGTTCGGACATGTCGCCTGGATGCATAGAGCTGGAGCAGCTTAGGTTGTTCTGTAGAGGAGATTCTGGTCAGAGCTCCAGAGACCAGAATGCTGATAGAAAGCCTGATGGTAAAGACCAGGCTTGGGAGGTTTCTGCTGGGAAGAAGGACTGCACTGGTTGTTGGACTCCACATGATGTGTGTTATGGCTTGGCGGAAAGTTTGTTTGCATTTTGGTCCTGCCCAGAGACCCTGCCTGAGACTGAGACAAAGGGCAATGGACTGATTAATCTTGAAAAGGAAATTAAAAAGCAATCCAACATTGAGGCTGTGGCATGGCTATTGTTGGGGGCTTTCAGCCAGCTTTGAATCAAGAGCAAAGAGCCCAGCAGGATAATTTCCAAAACTGTGAGTTTGGCCAGAAGGAAAATTCCAGGAAGGCTGTGGATTGTAAAGACAGAGTTGAGATTTTGATTCCTGAAGAGAAACAGAGAGATAAGAAAGATGGCCCCAGGGCATCCCAGGAAGGGGTCCCCATCCTGTGCAGCCTCACAGCAAAGGTGAAAAATATGCTCAGAGGGAAAAGCTGCAGAGCGCCATGTTTCAGAATGGCGACAGTGGCCACATGAGGTTCCAGAATGGCGGCAACATAGAGAAGCTTTTTCCCACAATCAGGCAAACAGAGCCATGTGATCCAGGCAACTGACCCCTACAGCTAAGAGAGAGAAAAGCCTGGCTACTGCTTCAGCTGGCAGCAGACCTTGGCGGCATCCACAAGGTGCTGATTTTAGGTGCAAGGAAAGTGCATGACTTCTGAGGGTAAGACGGCTTCCACCTCCATTGCAAAGGGCCTGGGAGGCCAAGCAGTGTGCCCCTGAGAGGGCAATTTGTTAAGATGTAAGGGTGAAGCCGAAGGTGCAGTGGAGACCCCAGAAGTTTGGAAAAGCCAGAAACATGGGTGATCCAAGGAAAGCTGCAAAAAGTGAGCAGAGAGGATTTAAGAGAAAAGCTGCAGGAGCTGAAATCCCTGGAAGTGCCGTGGGGGTGGAATCACCCAAGCCTTTTGGAGCTTGCAACCAGATTGCTTCAGATGCTGAGCATGGAACTCTAGGAATTAATGTTTGCCCTGCTGGATGTTGGACTTACTTTCTTTCCAGAGCTTTATATTCCCCTGTTTGTAACTTTTGGAATGGTAATGTTTATCTTGTGCCTTTGCATTTGAGAAAGGTTTAACCTTGTTTCATTTGTACAGGGGGTTACAGTTAAGTTTGCCATAGATCTTGGAGGAGACTTGGGACTTGGACTGCTCAGCAGTGCTGAAACTTAGGACTTTGGCAACTCTTGGAGGTGGACTAAATGTCTTTTGTATAAAGGATGTACCTGAGTCCTGGGGACCAGGGTGGAATGTCATAGTTTATGTCTGTGTCCCCCAAGCCTCATGAGTTTGCATTGTACATTTGTTATTCATTCATTGCCTAGTGCTTGGATTGATGATGTCAGTGCTCCACCCACAAAGGGGTGGAGCCAGGATGTGATGTAATGGCAGGAAAAAGGTGTGTCTTTGCTCTTTGCGGGTTCCAGCTTGCTGTTTGCAGCCACCATGAATGGAGGCCCAGCCATGCCAGCCTGCCTTGGAGCCAACTGAGTGTGGACTGAAACCTCCCAAAACTGTAAGAAATAAACCTTTCCTTTCCCAACTTGGGCATCAGGTATTTTGTCTCAGCAAGGAGCGTAAAGTAACTAAGACAATCCCATTCTTCCATTGTCATCTCCATATAATTGCAATTCCTTATGACATTTTTGCCATTTGCCTTGGGATTTGCACTGAAAGATGATGAAACAAAAATGTGTATAAGAACAAAATATGTGATGGCATGCATAAGTCAATTCATTTCTCCTTATCGGTCTTTCACAAAAGGTTTTTTAAAGGTGGGAGTATAAAGTTTGCGGGTTATTTCTATATTTCCTATCCTCTGTATTCATGGAAGATACATAACATACTATATGAATATGTAACTGTGTGCCCAGTCTTCTTGTGTGGTTTGTGGAAACTGGTCACTGTAGCCACACTGTATATATTTAAATGTTGAAAGTATGCAATGCGATTTTAATATGAATCCAAATGATTCAGAAAATTTCTTCAATCCTTTACTTTGTCAGTAGAGTTCTGGCTTGTAGAGTTTAGAAGTAGATAAAGTGCTACTAGACTGTGGACAGCCAGACCCAAGCCTTTTCCTGTGAGTCAGTGCCATTTGTGGACTGTGGGGAGAGAGAGAAAGACCACACCAAGAAGCAAGCCCAGTCAGGGAACCAGCGCCATGCACAGGCCACCATTGGACTGAGGACAGCCAGACCTCTTCCAGCATGTGGGCTGGCAAACAAGAAGTGCACCCCACCCCCATAAGAGACTAGCTGATCTGGAAAAACATAGGCTATGATGATAGCTATCAAAGTAAAATGTAGTTAGATGCCTTTGGTGCTTTGGTATTTCGCTGAGCTTGCAGATCTATGGCCAGTGGTCTAATCATCAGTTCAGAGGATAGTAGTACACAGTGTGGCATTTAGGGGGCATTTCCTTCTGTGGGTTGTAGCTACTGTTGATTCTCTATTATCTTGTTTTGAAGTCCTATATCATTTTCACTGTTTTATTGTGTTGGATTTTATTCTCTTTTGTTTGGTTTGGTTATGTTAAATCTGTGTCTGGATTTAGCAAGGAACAGCTATTTCAAAGATAGCAAGATGCATTATGGTAGCGATTCTGGATTTACTATTGGCTTGTTTTGAGGTCCTTTATTGCATTCATTGTTTTGTTTTTATTATTTATATTCTATTGTTTGATTTTTACTATGTCTGAAGGTATCTGCAGCTATTTTGAAGACAACAAAAGCATTATGGTAACTAGTGCTGATTTTGCAATGTTTTGAAGTCCTGTATCATTATCCTGTCCTGTGTTATCTTGCATTATTGATTTTGTTCTGTATTATTATGCTTGGTTTTATCCTCTGTAAAATAAAAAAAGAAGTAGATGAAGAACAGGGAAATATACCTTCTATTTAGCCTAGTAAGGACACTCAGTTAAGCAAGACTATTTTCCTTCCCAATTTTAGAAGCTATAAACTGGCATTGAGCTTGTTTGTACCTTCCCAACTCTGTGACTCATGGCTGCAGAGAGTTTATTTTCCTCCCTGAGCTTCCATTCCCTCATTAGTAAAATGAGAAAATGGGTTATTTCCACATTTCTTATATGTCATATACTATCTCTAGCCCTGGATATGGTTACTGATGTGAAATGAAGCCTGACACCATAAAATCATCTGATTTTACCATGTTCTTTTACATTTACTTAATTCTGAAAAAGAAAAAAGGTATACATGTTAGAAATATTTTTCCCTACAAAGGTTAAAACAATATTTTTTTCTGTTTATTCTTAGTTACCCAGGAAAAAGAAATCAAAAGAACCTTCCTCTCTTCTGCCAAGAGTTCTAATATCCTAAGGCTCCACTTTGATAAGCTCTTCTGCCCATATCCTTTACTGACAAGAAGCAGGACCAGAGGAAGCAGGGGAAACAATTGGAGTCTAGACTCAGTGGGCTGCAGGGCAGACTGACAATCATGATACTTTATTAGACGTCACCTCGGTCATTCATGACATATGACTAATGCCAGGAAATCTTTAGCAAGTCTTTTGAAGGGCCTCGGATATAAATTCATCATCAATTTAGAGAATGAAATAGAAGGCCAAGTTTGACCTTTACCTTGTAACTGAGATGTTTTGTAGTTTCCTTAGTGAATCCACACTATGGCTTCTTTGTGCATGGCTGGCTTGCAATTTTTTAAGAACTGATTTCAATATTTCTTTCCTAAGAAAAAGTTAAAAAGCAAAATTATGTAAATAAATGTTGATTGACCCCGCCATACAATAAAGGAGGACGAAACAGAGAGAGAGAAGATGGCAGTGGGGTCTCATCTGGTTTATATTTCCCATCAGTGGAAGTAGAGCAAGTTACCTTGGGCAGAATTTTGGCCATGTCATATTTTAAAAACCCATATAAGGAAATTTTACACTGCAGCTTTTCAATATTGCTAGTTCCAGTCATGAATTTTCTATTTCATTTGGGATGTCTATCTTCTGAAATTATAGAAAAAGAAAGCATTTCTTCTTGAAGAAGTTCCTCTACCCAAGCATGGTAGGAAGGAACTAAAGCTGAAAATAGGATGGTTTTAAATATGACAGAGCAAGCTGTTAGCCCAGAATCCTAAGTTTTCAGCCTAGGTTGTTTTCTAATCGGCAATGTATCCTTAAGCCAATCTTTCTTCTTTGGCATTATTATTTTCATTGGAAAATTAGAGGTAAGACTGTAAAGTCCGTAAGTTTCCTTCTACCAACATGATAAATATAACAAATATTTGGTTCTTAAAATGTTTGCACTAAAGGACTATGGAATTTGATTGCAAGCAACTTATGCTGCCATCTTGTGGCCAAAACAAGTTTTCTTTAGTTCTAAAGATTTCCTGAGACAAGTGTACCAAAGATGATATGCATTTGGCAAGTACATTTTGTCTGTCTGTCTATCTATCTATCAGTCTATCTGTTTATCTATATATCTATCTATCATCTTGTTTCTAATTTTTATTGAGGTATTACATACATGTGCAGAAATGCCTACCATTCCTAACGATGGAAACTTTTTGCAAATTGTGCATACCTAGCATCCAGATCATGAAACAGAACATTACCAGATTAAAGAACTCCCTTGTACCTCCTTTCAGTCACTAATAATACCCACCCTGCATACACACATCATGAGTCTCCAGATCATGAAACAGCAGCATAAGCACCTGCCTTGCAAGCAGGCGGTCGTGAGTTCGATCCCTGGTACCGATATAAAGTTTAAAAGTAAAGAAGAAAACAATTGTTCCATGTGACAGGAGACAAAAAAAAGCAAGAGTAACTTGCCCATCAACCACAGAATCAATAAAAAGATATGGTATTTTCATGCAGTGGAAAGCTACTCAGCTATGAAGTAGAATAACCCCAAGAATCCAGTAGGTAAATAGATGCAACTGGAGATCAAGTTCATGTGTAAAACAGTTTGAACTCATACATGTAAACTCTTGCATAAGAAACAGAAGTAGTTAATGGGATCCAAAAGCAAAATAGTTAATGTAAGAGCAAAGAGCAGGAAACACCTGGGAGGGAAAGGTAGAAACTGCCGTCAATTTGTTACTGTCTTATCTTGAACTCTTGCATTGTTCACACAATTTTTTTAAAGTTTGAATTGTTCTGTCTTTTGTTCGATTTTATGCTGTCAGATGGTAGGGGCAGCTACTGTGAATATAATGGGATATTTTATGGTAATCATGGTTTCTATTATATTGCTTTGAAGTCTCATAATGCTTTCCTTCATTGGTTTAATTGGTTTTACTTTTTTGTTTGATTTTATTATATGTGATGGTATAACAGCTATTTTGAAGAAAACAAGATATTATGGCAGCCATTGCTGATTTACTATCATCTTGTTTTGAAGTCCTATCACGCTTTTGTTCTTCTGTTTTGATTCATTCTATCCTATTGTTATCTTATTTGATTTTATTATGTGTGATGTTATAAACAAAATTTTTAAGGAAAATGAGATATTATAGTTGCCATTGTTCATTTGCTAATATTTGGTTTTGAAGTCCTATAATGCTTTTATTCTTTTGAATGTTTCTATACTATTTTGATATGTTTGATATTATTGTGTGTGAAGTTATGCTCAACTGTTTTGAAGGAAAGAGACATTATGGTAGCTAGTGCTGATACCCAGTTGTCTTGTTGTAAAGTGCAGTGTTGCTTGCATTGTTCTGTTCTGATTTGCTTTGTTCTGTTCTCTTCTGTTTATTCTCTTTAAAATAAAAAAATTAGACCTATTTGAATTAGTAATAACAAAATAAAGCACAACAAAGAAAAATCCAAGACCAGATAACTTCACCACTTAATTTGACCAAACACTGAAAAAAGTATTAATAACAATCCTTTTAAAACTCTTTCAAAAAATAAAGTAAAAACACATAATAATTTATTTGATGAGATCATTTACACACAAAGACATCATGAAAAACCTATAGATAAATATTTGACCTAAATATAGATGCAAACAATGCTAAAGATATGTACAGACAACGGGGCTTCTAAGGTTGGGGGAGGGGATCTCACAAGGCTGTAGCTGGGCAGAGAAAATTATGACTTTGAATGCACAAAGAGACATGGAAGTAGAGGTGACTATGTGACGACAGCCATAGAGTTTGGGTCTATCGTTTCTTGTTTTTACCTGGGAGATCATTTCTGATCTCATTTCCTTTACAGTTTCATGTAGTTGTATCTTCACTTCAATTGCTATCATTTCCAAAATTTTAGGTATGTAACTTACACTTTCCTCAGTGTTCTTGTCTCCTAGATATGTTTGGGATGGGCTTGAATTTTGAAACTACATTTTGGCCTTTTGTTTTGTCATTTTTGTGTATTCCTCCAGAACACTCAAATGCAAAGTCCCAGTTGATTTCTGAGTTGTTAATGGCTGCCTGTCCAGAAGTGGGTCTCCCTGGCTTGGTGGAGGTCTCTGGAAGGGGCTTTCCACAGCCCTGTGTAGCACATCAATGCTTCCTAGCTGGTTGTCATCTCTCAGTAGATCCTTCCTGGGACCCATGATGTGCAAGGAGGCTCACTGGCTGATTGGGGTCACTGGGTGGGTATTTCCTGAGTCCCAGTGTTCTGTACTTGGTGTGACTGGGAGAGCCCTTCCTGGGACTAGCAGAGTACACTGACACTTCCCAACTGTTTGGCACCACTGTGCAGGCAGGCCCTTCCCTGCCTGGAACAGCCCACCGATGTACTCCAGCTTGTTAGGATCACTGGATGGACCCTTCCCAGGCCCCATAAAATGCACTAACATTCATCCCCTCTTTGGGATTTCTGGGCAGGCACTTTGCTGGATCCCCTGGTGCACTGACATTCCCCAGCTGGTTGAGGTTTCTATATGGGGCCTTCACAGCACACAGATGTCCTGGAGCTGTGTGGAGCTTTCTGGGTGGGCTTTTTCCCAGCCCTACGCTATATAAGTCACCTTAATTCTTTTGTATTGTCCTTCCCTTCCCCACTGACCTCCTTATAACCATCTCTAGGCTCACTTGCCCCACTGTCATTATTTTTTGTTAGTTTGAGGAGAATAAATCCAAATGAAATGCAACAGAATAGAATCAATCAAAACAAAACAATGAATATAATACATGACTTTAAAACAAAATACAAGGAAATCAATAATGGCTACCATAATGCCTCTTGCTACCTTAAAAAGAATTTCCCATACCATTGGGAATAACAAAATCAAAAAGCAGTATGTAATAAAACCACTAAAAACAAAACAATAGAAGCAGTAATCAGACTTCAAAACAAAATAATAGTAAATAATAGTAAAACCAAAATAGTACCATAATGCATCTTGTTATCTTCAGAGTAGTTAGTTGCCTATACCATCAGCCATGATACAATCAAGGAAAACAGAATCCATGAAACAAATTCAAAGAGATATCCAAGCAACAAAAAATTCTACTGAAAGCTGGCAAAGCCATTTAAATGAAGCTGCGGATAGAATTTCAGACCTTGAGGACAGGATCATAGTTAGTGATGATAAAAGGATAGAACCTTTAAAATCAACAAAGCAGAATGAAATCCAGCAGCTTCAAGATGGTGGCAAGAGAAACAATATACAACTAATAGGCTTCAATGAGGATGCACAAATTAACATGAATGACATCAGTAAGCTATTCACATACATAACAACAGAAAATTTCCCAAACATGGCAAAAAATTGTGATATACAGATAAGTGAGGCATATAGAATGCCAAACAGTCACAACCAACATAAATCTACATCCAGGCATATAATAACTAAGATCCCAGAATTTCAGCATAGAAACAGAATATTAAAAGCTGTTAGAGAAAAGGCACAACTCACCTATCAAGGAAAGCCTATTAGAATCACAGAAGACTTCTCAGCACAAACCCTCAACTCAAGACAACCTTGGAGTGAAGTATTTCAAGCCCTGAAAAAAAATAACTTTCAACTCAGATTCATATACCCTGCAAAACTCTATAAAGATTAATGGAGGAATAAGATTCTTCCAGGCCAAAGAACAACTGAAGATGTTCACCAAACCAACACTAGAAGGACTATTGAAAGACATACAACAGAGAGAAAAATATGACTACTATTCCCAGAACAACTACAGAAAGAAACCTCCTGTCATTTTTTATATCTGTGTCCCCCAGGCCTCATGAGTTTGCATTGTGTACTTGTGATTGGTTCATTGTCTAGTGCTTGGATTGATGATGTCAGTGTGTCACCCACATAGGGGTGGAGTCAGGATGTGATGTAATGGCAGAAAGAAGCTGTGTCTTGCTCTTTGGTGGTTCCTGTTTGCTATTTACCACCACCATGAACTGTGGCCCAGCCATGCCCACCTGCCTTGGAGCCAAATGAGTGTGGACTGAAACCTTCAAAAACCTTTCCTTCCCCAACTTTGGGCTTCAGGTATTTTGTCTCAGCGACGAGTAACAAGTAACTAAGACAGGGGGCTGGGGATTTAGCTCAGTGGCATAAGCGCCTGCCTTGTAAGCAGGCAGTCATGAGTTCGATCCCTGGTACCGATAAAAAGGAAAAAGACAAAAAAAAAAAAAAGTAAGACAGAATTTGGTACGGGGAGTGGGGCTGTTTGCTGTGACTATACCTGACCATGTTTCTCAAGAGGCTTTGGAAATGGCAGTTTGGGAAGGTTCAGACATGTCGCCTGGATGCATAGAGCTGGAGCAGCTTAGGCTGTT